ACCCTGTAGGCCCCAATGTCTGACAGAAAAAAAAAACTGTTTGCATCTCTGCTAATAAATGTTTTAAAAACTTTAACTGCAGACTGTACGTAATGTTAACTGGAATAAAACTAAGTCCATTTATAAGTAATATACGGAAAAACAGGAAATAAATTTTTACAAAATTTCCTTCTAGATACTAGCTAGCTTTTGATCATAAACAAGCTTCTGTCCAAGTGTGGTACAAATCCAGGATAGTTTAAGAAAGTTATCAACATTTGAAAAACTTTAACCACAGAGTGAATGTTATGTTAACTGGCAGAAAAACTAAGTCCATATATGAGTAAAATACGGATAAACAGGATTTTTTTTTTTACAAAATTTTGTTCTTGATACTATCTTATGATTATAAACAAGCTTCTGTCCAAGTTTGGTACAAATCCAGGATAGTTTAAGAAAGTTATCAACATTTGAAAAACTTTAACCACAGAGTGAATGTTATGTTAACTGGCAGAAAAACTAAGTCCATATATGAGTAAAATACGGATAAAGTGGATTTTTTTTTTTTTCTTACAAAATTTACTTCTGGATACTATCTTATGATCACAAACAAGCTTCTTTCCAAGTTTGGTTGAAATGCAGGATAGTTTTAAGAAAGTTAATAAAATTTCAAAAACTTTAACCACAGAGTGAATATTTGTGGACGCCGCCGCCGCTGACGATGCCGATGGAATGTAGGATCACTATGTCTCGCTTTTGCGACAAAAGTCACAGGCTCGACAAAAACAGACCAAAACATAAAAACCTAACATTGACCAATGAACCATAAAAATGAGGTCAAGGTCAGATTGTACCTGCCAGACAGACATGTACACCTTACAATCATTCCATACACCAGACATAGTTGACCTATTGCTTATAGTACTTGAAAAACTGCAAAAACACAAAAACTTAACATTGAGTAATGAACCATGAAAATGAGGTCAAGGTCAGAAGATACCTGCTAGACAGACCTGTACACCTAACGATCATTCCATACATCGAATATAGTTGACCTATTGCTTATAGTACTCGAAAAAAGACCAGAACACAAAAACTTAACATTGACCAATAAACCATTGGGAGCTTAAATAGAAAGAAAAGAGAATAATTAGCGTTAAAAAATTCGTAAGGGTTCCGCGGTTCTCGCCTACTTTTGCTGTTAATCGCAGGCTCAACAAAAATAAGGAAAAAAATTAATAAAAAATATTCCTCTCTATACTATCTTTTGATTGTAAGTAGCTCTGTCCAAGTTTGGTAAAAATCCAGGATAGTTTATGAATCTAATAAATGTTTTAAAAACTTAAACTGCAGACTGTATGTAATGTTAACTGGAAGAAAGTCCATTATAAGTAAAATACGGAAAAAATCAAACAAAATTTTAACAAAATTTCCTTCTAGATACTAGCTTTTAATCATAAACAAGCTTCTGTCCAAGTTTGGTACAAATCCAGGATAGTTTAAGAAAGTTGTTAAAATTTTAAAACCTTTAACCACAGAGTGAATGTAATGTTAACTGGCAGAAAAACTAAGTCCATTTATAAGTAAAATATGGAAAAAATGGAATTTTTTTTACAAAATTTACTTCTGGATACTATCTTATGATCATAAACAAGCTTCTTTCCAAGTTTGGTAGAAATCCAGGATAGTTTAAGAAAGTTATTAAAATTTCAAAAACTTTAACCACAGAGTGAATGTAGTTTTTCCTGGCAGAAAAACTAAGTCCATTTATAAGTAAAATACGGAAAAAAAAGGAATTTTTTTTTTACAAAATTTACTTTTGAATATTATCTTATGATCACAAACAAGCTTCTGTCCAAGTTTGGTAGAAATCCAGGATAGTTTGAGAAAGTTATTAAAATTTCAAAAACTTTAACCACAGAGTGAATGTAGTTTTTCCTGGCAGAAAAACTAAGTCCATTTAAAGTAAAATACGGAAAAAAAAGGATTTTTTTTTTTACAAAATTTACTTTTGAATATTATCTTATGTTAAAGGAAGTCCCCCCGCTGGAAGCCATCATGGATGAAGGATCAGCTTCAAAGTAACAACACTTAGTCAGCACCTCATAAGTAACATTCATGCCATGTTTGGTTTCAATCCATTCAGTGGTTCTCTAAAAGAAGACATGTGTATGTAATGTCCATAGGGTCCTTTGTTAAACACTGTCCCCAACTGGTGGCCATCTTGGATGATGGATCGGCTTCAAAGTAACAACACTTGGTCAGCACTTCATAAGGAACATTCATGCCATGTTTGGTTTCATTCCATTCAGTGGTTCTCTAAAAGAAGACATTCGTATGTATTTCCCATAGGGTCCTATGTTAAACTAAGTCCCCCCGCTGGCGGCCATCTTGGATTATGGATCGGCTTCAAAGAAACAACACTTGGTCAGCACCTCAAAAGGAACATTCATGCCATGTTTGGTTTCATTCCATTCAGTGGTTCCTTAAAAGAAGACATTTGTATGTATTTCCCATAGGGTCCTATGTTAAACTAAGTCCCCCGCTGGTGGCCATCTTGGATGATGGATCGGCTTCAAAGTAACAACACTTAGTCAGCACCTCATAAGGAACATTCATGCCATGTTTGGTTTCATTCCATTCAGTAGTTCTCTAAAAGAAGACATTTGTAAATATTTCCAATAGAGTCCTATGTTAAACTAAGTCCCCCGCAGGCGGCCATCTTTGTTTATGAATCGGCTTCAAAGTAACAACACTTGGTCAGCACCTCATAAGGAACATTCATGCCATGTTTGATTTCAATCCATTCAGTGGTTCTCTAAAAGAAGACATTTGTATGTATTGTCCATAGGGTCCTTTGTCAAACACTGTCCCCAGCTGGTGGCCATCTTGGATGATAGATAGGCTTCAAAGTAACAACACTTGGTCAGCACCTCATAAGGAACATTCACATCCTGTTTGGTTTCGTTCCATTCAGTGGTTCTCTAAAAGAAGACATTCGTATGTATTTCCCTTAGGGTCCTATGTTAAACTAAGTGCCCCGCTGGCGGCCATCTTGGATTATGGATTGGCTTCAAAGTAACAACACTTGGTCAGCACCTCAAAAGGAACATTCATGCCATGTTTGGTTTCATTCCATTCAGTGGTTCTCTAAAAGAAGACATTTGTATGTATTTCCCTTAGGGTCCTATGTTAAACTAAGTCCCCTGCAGGCGGCCATCTTGGATTATGGATCAGCTTCATAGTAACAACACTTGGTCAGCACCTCATAAGGAACATTCATGCCATGTTTGGTTTCATTCCATTCAGTGGTTCTCTAAAAGAAGACATTTGTATGTATTTCCCATAGGGTCCTATGTTAAACTAAGTCCCCCGCTAGCGGCCATCTTGGATTATGGATCCGCTTCAAAGTAACAACACTTGGTCAGCACCTCATAAGGAACATTCATGCCATGTTTGGTTTCATTCCATTCAGTGGTTCTCTAAAAGAAGACATTTGTATGTATTTCCCATAGGGTCCTATGTTAAACTAAGTCCCCTCGCTGGCGGCCATCTTGGATGATGGATCCGCTACAAAGTAACAACACTTGGTCAGCACCTCATAAGGAACATTCATGCCATGTTTGGTTTCATTCCATTCAGTGGTTCTCTAGAAGAAGTTCAAAATGTAAAAAGTTAACGCCGACGACGGGCGCCGCCGCTGGACGACAGGACGCCAAGTGATGAGAAAAGCTCACTTGGCCCTTTCGGCCAGGTGAGCTAAAAAGAAGAGAATAATAGTGCTAAAAAATATAATAGAAAAAAATGACCTTAAATATTTAAAGATAGAGAAATAAAGACCCCCACCCCCACCTGGCCCTCTTATAATACTGAGGATTTTACAATTTGCCATCTAAAATAGAATCCCCAATTTTAAATGGCAATATTATCAACCAGTTGAAACTCTTTAATAAGCTTATCATCATCTAGTTCTATAAAATATGTTTTTTACAAATGAACTTATCTACCAATATCTACATTTCATTGTTACTATCAAAATAAAAAATCAGACAATTTTAGTTCAAGTATAACTAAAACAATGTTAGAATCTACTTATCGTAAATACTAATTCAATTATATAATGTAATAATGATGTTTAAATAACAAGAGTGACACAATCCATGCCACTATCAACTGACAATAATTCAAGTGTATCCAGACAAACCGTATTACAAATCCCACACGCTCATCCATTAAGGCAGTTATCTAGTTCCAACATCAGATAGTAATGAATTTGTCGTCTAATGGGGCATAATGCATTTATCACTTATTTCTAGGACATTACTGAATCAGATCAGTTTCAGTTTTACCAATTAATGTTTGAAAATGTTTAAGGTATAGCATCCGGTTATAGAAAGTCAGATGATGTAATTGGTGTTTGCTTAATGTATATCATACAATATTTCCCCCTACAATAATGCTAAAACTTAGATAGATATTAACATTGATAACAATAAATATCAGGCTTTATCTATTGTAATATAACCTTGAAGTTCTATATGAATCTTTGCAATATGTGACTAGCAGGACTTTTAGTACGAGCTAGCTACTTAAACTAAGAGACCTTTCCTTACAAAGCTTTCAAAAATAGTCACAAATTAATTAATCATCTCTCCTCTCTTCAATAAAGTTTGCATCCAACCAAATCACGACATATAAAATTTACTTACTGTGGATTCATTATTATTCGTGAGATACCTATTTTTGTTAATTTTGTTGGTATAGATAAATCCTGAATTCAAATGTTCATTGAAGAACAAATTGTCTATAGGCTTGTATGCAACTTTAGCAAAACCATCAAATCAAATATCCACGAAAATACAATTGTTGCACAATCCACAAAAATTGGTTTTCAACGAAACTTAACGAATCAAGTTTACATTAATTGATTATTGCAGAGTTATATACATGCCACATCCTTTTTAAAGTATCCAGATCCAGTTCCTAGCGCAGTTGCATGTGAAATTTCATAAAATACGTACCTCTTACATATTTGATTAACAGGCATGTATACTAATCTTTTTCCATACTTTATCTTTCCCACATAATCTTGCCACAGAAGTAATTATAACCACTCAGAACCAGGACATATTCTGTGAATAATCTGAAAAAGCATCATCCTGTCATTTATCAACTTTACATCTGTTTTCTTATTGTTTATTATTATTATCTCTGTATAGATTCAAATAATAACTCACCAAATGATTCACTAAATTTGTACTTAAATGAGCAACACAACAGGAACCACATGTGGAGCAGGATCTGCTACCCGTGTTTTTGAATGGGTTTATGTTGCTTAGTCTTTAGTTTTTCTATGTTGGGCTTTGAGGACTGTTGTTTGTCTCTTCATCATTTTTTGTCTTTGCCATTGCATCAGTCTGTCTTCAACTTTGAATGTTCCCTTGGTATCTGCAGTCTCTCTTTCATAAGAAAAGTTAAATTTTATTTTTTGTCATGCAAGTGTCTTTTATACCTTACTATTCGGTATAGGTTTTGCTCATTGTTGAAGGCTGTAAGGTGAACTATAGTTGTTTACATCCTCACCCCTATGGTCAAAGGTAGATTTATTTGTCTCATCAGCAATCATATCACATAATCTAATTTTCATATTAAGAGCTTTTTTTTAACTTTATAAGGATACAAATAAAGATATATTAACTGGTTTGAGTCAAGAATATGTGTCCATAGGACACCATGCTCCACTTGCACAATCACATTTCAATGTTCAGTAAACCATAAAATTTGGGTCAAACCCTAATTTCACATTTAATTTTTTTTATTTACATCATATTGGACATGTAAATTAGGTTTCAAGTTAATGTTAACACAAGATCCTGGAAAACTACCTTTCACAAAAATTTTAACCTGAAACAGGACAGAGGAAAAGACAGAACACCTGGACACACTGACTAGAAAACAATATACTATATCTCCTTATTTTAATATTCCCCCAGATACTTGCTATACAGAAATCCCTCTTTGGGCAATTCATTAATTTTGCTTTTTAATATATATTAATGATTGGCTTAAAAATTCCATTGAGGTGTTCTTTGTATCTGTCATACTTTCTACAAAAGCAAAGAAATACATTTTACAGATGGACTGTTAGATTCGTCTGAAAATTGCATGGCTGATAGAACTTGGCCTAATGAACATTTTAACCTCTCATCAGATTTGCTCTAATTGCTTAAGTGTTTGAGACTTAATGAGTGGCTTAAAAAGTGGCCTTCGGAACGGTGAGCTAAAAGCAAAATACAACCAGAGGACAAACAACAGTTTACAAAACACCACATAGAAAACTAGTCTGAGCAACACGTACCACACCAAAAAAACAGGGTGATCTTAGGTTCTTCCAAACTGTAAAATTCTATAGCTGCAAGCAAGAGAGATGCAATCCCACTAAGTTTCTAATCTACTAAAATTTTGATAAACAGTTAACTCAAAAATCCAGGGCTTCTTTTTTACCAACAGTTGTATTAAAATTCCAAGATGAAGATTTTACATGAATCAACCAAAATGAAGATCATTTTTAAAGTACCATCCAAACATCAATCCTCAAAAGTTTGGCTAAAGCATGCCACAATTAGTTTAAGAACTGAAGATGGAAATTTGATTTTCCTATGTGCCAACAATCCTGTCATGGTGTACCACATAATAAACAGATACTCAAACTACTTTACCCAGTAGCTTCAGACCAGAGATGTTGTACCACATAATACACAGATAATCAAACTAATTCACCCAGTAGCTTCAAACCAGAGATGTTGTACCACATAATACACAGATAATCAAACTAATTCAAAGAGTAGCTTCAGACCAGAGATGTTGTACCACATAATACATAGATAATCAAACTACTTCATCCAGTAGCTTCAGACCAGAGATGTTGTACCACATAATACATAGATAATCAAACAACTCCACCAAGTAGCTTCAGACCAAAGATGTTGTACCACATAATACACAGATAATCAAACTACTTTACCCAGTAGCTTCAGACTAGAGATATTGTACCACATAATACACTGATAATCAAACAACTCCACCCAGTAGCTTCAGACCAGAGATGTGGTACCACATAATACACAGATAATCAAACAACTCCACCAAGTAGCTTCAGACCAGAGATGTTGTACCACATAATACACTGATAATCAAACAACTCCACCCAGTAGCTTCAGACCAGAGATGTTGTACCACATAATACACAGATAATCAAACAACTTCACCCAGTAGCTTCAGACCAGAGATGTTGTACCACATAATACACTGATAATCAAACTACTCCACCCAGTAGCTTCAGACCAGAGATGTTGTACCACATAATACAGAGATAATCAAACTAATTCAATGAGTAGCTTCAGACCAGAGATGTTGTACCACATAATACACAGATAATCAAACTAATTCACCCAGTAGCTTCAGACCAGAGATATTGTACCACATAATACACAGATAATCAAACTAATTCAATGAGTAGCTTCAGACCAGAGATGTTGTGCCACATAATACACAGATAATCAAACTACTTTACCCAGTAGCTTCAGACCAGAGATGTTGTACCACATAATACACAGATAATCAAACTAATTCAATGAGTAGCTTCAGACCAGAGATTTTGTACCACATAATACACAGATAATCAAACTAATTCACCTAGTAGCTTCAGACCAGAGATATTGTACCACATAATACACAGATAATCAAACTAATTCAATGAGTAGCTTCAGACCAGAGATGTTGTACCACATAATACACAGATAATCAAACTACTTTACCCAGTAGCTTCAGACCAGAGATGTTGTACCACATAATACACAGATAATCAAACTAATTCAATGAGTAGCTTCAGACCAAAGATGTTGTACCACATAATACACAGATAATCAAACTAATTCACCCAGTAGCTTCAGACCAGAGATGTTGTACCACATAATACACTGATAATCAAACTACTTCATCCAGTAGCTTCAGACCAGAGATGTTGTACCACATAATACATAGATAATCAAACAACTCCACCAAGTAGCTTCAGACCAGAGATATTGTACCACATAATACACATATAATCAAACTAATTCAACTAGTAGCTTCAGACCAGAGATGTTGTACCACATAATACACAGATAATCAAACTAATTCACCCAGTAGCTTCAGACCAGAGATGTTGTACCACATAATACACAGATAATCAAACTAATTCAAAGAGTAGCTTCAGACCAGAGATGTTGTACCACATAATACATAGATAATCAAACTACTTCATCCAGTAGCTTCAGACCAGAGATGTTGTACCACATAATACATAGATAATCAAACAACTCCACCAAGTAGCTTCAGACCAAAGATGTTGTACCACATAATACACAGATAATCAAACTACTTTACCCAGTAGCTTCAGACTAGAGATATTGTACCACATAATACACTGATAATCAAACAACTCCACCCAGTAGCTTCAGACCAGAGATGTGGTACCACATAATACACAGATAATCAAACTAATTCACCAAGTAGCTTCAGACCAGAGATGTTGTACCACATAGTACACTGATAATCAAACAACTCCACCCAGTAGCTTCAGACCAGAGATGTTGTACCACATAATACACAGATAATCAAACAACTTCACCCAGTAGCTTCAGACCAGAGATGTTGTACCACATAATACACTGATAATCAAACTACTCCACCCAGTAGCTTCAGACCAGAGATGTTGTACCACATAATACACAGATAATCAAACTACTTTACCCAGTAGCTTCAGACCAGAGATGTTGTACCACATAATACACAGATAATCAAACTAATTCAATGAGTAGCTTCAGACCAGAGATGTTGTACCACATAATAAACAGATAATCAAACTAATTCACCCAGTAGCTTCAGACCAGAGATATTGTACCACATAATACACATATAATCAAACTAATTCAACGAGTAGCTTCAGACCAGAGATGTTGTACCACATAATACACAGATAATCAAACTAATTCCCCAGTAGCTTCAGACCAGAGATGTTGTACCACATAATACACAGATAATCAAACTAATTTAAAGAGTAGCTTCAGACCAGAGATGTTGTACCACATAATACATAGATAATCAAACTACTTCATCCAGTAGCTTCAGACCAGAGATGTTGTACCACATAATACATAGATAATCAAACAACTCCACCAAGTAGCTTCAGACCAAAGATGTTGTACCACATAATACACAGATAATCAAACTACTTTACCCAGTTGCCTCAGACTAGAGATATCAGGGGTTTATCTAGGTATTTTGGGAAAAAGGACCCTGGCCAATTTTGGGAATTTTTTAACACGGGTTTCAGTGAAATTGGGAAAAACAACCTATATACCAAATGCTAGTTTTAGTGTGTTTAGTTCAATAAAAATTTTCTTTTTTGGTGAACATGGTGAAAATAAAGTAAGAAACTACATGAAGGCTATTAATCATTAAATTTTCTGTTCTGTTTTTTGGTGAAAAAGACAAGTATTGTCACATTTTATTTTATTTTTACATGAACATTTGTGAACTAAAATATTTTTCTGTATAAAATATATCCTGTTTCTTTTTTCTTTTTTTTTTTTTATATATTTTAGTTTTCAATTTCAGGTTTGTTATTTCATAGCTGTCACATGCTAGAATTTGTTTTAAATTTATGTATTTCAAGGATTTGTATATTAAAAACTATAAAAATCATTTATTTTGTTTATTTATTGTATTTTATCTGCAAACCCGGAATTATAGCCTTATCCGTTTCCGGAATTTGATCTGGTTTTGTAATTTTCTTCACTTCCTGTGTTTTGGCAGCCATTGTTTGTCAATGTTGTTTTTTGTCAGTCATTATGTTTCAACTGGGATTTACACATTACTTGTTGGCAATTTTCGGCATAAAGCTAGCTGTTGAACATAATAAACATCTCTGTCTTGAATAATATAGATGAAAATGAGTTTTGTAATCAATTGGGAATTTTTCCCCCAAAATTGGGAAAAATGTAGGGGTTTTGCCGTTGGGAATGGGTCCGAATACCGGACCCTGTGGAATGCTAGAAAAATCCATGGATATTGTACCACATAATACACTGATAA